AAATGACAACTATTCTAATTCTCCTTGAAATACAGACCAAATTAAAATCTTAGCATTGCAATGTCTTGAAAGAAAATTAATTACTCTTTAGCTACTTAGGCAATGAAATGACTCTTACTCTATGTTTTTATGAACACAAGTGATCAACTTTGCTGTTCCTGGTGTTCCCAGTGATAATTATGCTGTCTTCCCTTAGGTAATAAAACTCTTTGAAAGTCAGCTGATCTTTACTCATCAAAAAGGTTACAAATATCCCAAATATCATTTATGGTAGTTTGGTAATTCTAGTATTTGAGGATGTTACTAAATGGCAAAAAAAATCACTATGCTTATTGCAAAGGGTGTGTATGTTATAGACTAAATTGTATCCTTCCTGCCCCAAGTAGGTAGAATTCTTTATCTTAAATACCTCATGTCCTTATTTGAAAAGCAATCATTGCAGATGGAATTAGTGAAGTTAAGCAAGTCATCCTGCAACCAGGTCTGTGTAAGAAAGATGGCCATGTGAAAGATATGGAGACACAGGAGGGTATCGCATGAGAATGGACACAAAGACTGGAGATGCAGTCACAAGTCAGAGAATGTGAAGCATTAAGTGTGACTGCCAGGAGCTAGAAAAGTCATGACCTACCTTTCCTAACTAATGTTGCTGCTAGATGATTAGCACAGAAGTTAAGCTTTCATCACTGTGTCTGTTGACTAGCAAAGACTCCAAGTATCTTGAATCCACCAAATTCATGGTGTCAGCTAAAGTTTCACATAAGAATCCACATTAACTTCCTAGCACCAACCAACCTATGAATTCCTAACAGCAGAGAACATTCTAACTGTACCACTGGAAGTCTCCATAATGTGGTCTCTCTCTTGGTAGCCCCAGCATATCCCAATCTCCAGAGCACCTATCAAAGTCCCGTTTTTTAAATATATGTTACTTATCTTTAAGTAGATGTACAAAGAGGTTTCAATTCCACATGTCAAAACCTAACTAAAATACATTTTGATGCATTTTCATCATTCTCCTTTCTATCCATCTCAATCCTACCCTGACCTTCCACATTATCTGTTTCCATTTTCACATATGCACATTAAATATTATGGCTATATTCTCTCATCTTTCATCACTGCATTCAGCAGACACCCCCCCCGACCCATCAAAATATCAGTTTTCTGATATTCATTTGTTAAGTTGTAAGCAAGTGGTTCAAAGGGATTACCCCCTTGGAGTCGTCCTACAGAGGAGGACTCCAATATTTTAGTCAGTTTGTGTGTGTATGTGTGTATGCATATGTATGTTTATAATTTAGATATATAACTTCTACTCTTTTCTAGAAGACATGCACATTGCCTAACATGCATGAGGCATTGGGGTCAATAACTCAGTACCACATAAACAGAGAAAGCCAGAAGTGGCTCTGTGGCTCAAGTGGCAGAGTGCTAGCCTTGAGCAAAAGAAACTCAGGCAGGGAAAGTGTTCAGGCCCTGAGTTCAAGCCCCAGGTCTGGCAAAAAAATAAAACATGCTTACTTTGTCTCTCTGAGCCTGACTTACTTCCCTGAATGTAATTATTTCCAGGTCCATACATTTCCCTGTAAATGACATTTTCCTGAAGGATAAGTAAACTTTCCATATAAGAATGAATGAATATATATGAGATAAATATGTATACATTTATATATGAGATAGATATAGATAAGAGATATATGAGATTAAAGATATAGACATATACAAAGATAGAAATCTCACATCTTCTGATCAATTAGTTGGTTGTAGAGCATCTTTGCTGTTTCCATAACTTGGCTATGGTAAATAATGCAGCAATGAACATAGATATGCAAGTGTCTTTATTGAACCTGGAGATGTAATCTTTTTGTAAATGCCCAACTATGGTGTCATTGGACCCAAATGTAGCTTCCATGGTAGTTTTACTAGCTTACATTCCCACCAACAATGTACTAGGGTTGCTTTTTCTCCCACATTCCTGCAAGCATTTGTTGCTGTTTGTAGTCTTAGTTTCCTCATGTGAAATGAAAAACCATGTAGGTGCCAATACTGTCATTGATTATTTCCTCTATTTAAATCATAGGAGCCCATATCCTCTCTGTGGTATATTTTCTGTATTTTTAATTAATTTATTTATTTTTAATATTTATTTTATTTTTATTGTGAGAATACCGTACAGAGGAGTTACAATTACATGGGCAAGATAACAAATACATTTCTTATCAAGCATTGTTGCCTCCTCCTTGTTTCCCCTTCCCATCCCTTCCCATACTCCTCCCCTCCTCCCACCTGATCCTCCCCCACCACCCACCAAAGTTGTTAAGTTCCTTTTTCGGCATAACGACTTGTACATCTCATTGTTGCAATGGGTCCAACTGTATCCCTAGTTAAATGATTTGTTTTTTGCCCTTCCCCTCCACAAATTATACCAACATTAAATACAGTGAAAGTACGGGTTATACTGTGGGGAAGGGACATACAAAGCAACATAGAAATCATCTTATTAATATTATAGAAACAATTGCATGAAAGAAAACAAAAAACAAAAAAAAACATTTGAATACTTATCTTGGGGTTCATTCCCCTAACATCAACTTATCTGACCTTTTCTGCTTGACTCAGACATATACTAAATATTGCAAATAAGGGAAACCATGTTTCTTTGGGCCTGGCTTACTTCACTTAATATAATTTTTCCAAGCCTTTCCATTTCCTAACAAATGGGGCAATGTCATTCTTTCTGATGGAGGCATAGAATTCCATTGTGTATATATACCACATTTTCTTGATCCATTCATCTACTGAGGGGCATCTGGGTTGGTTCCATATCTTAGGTATGGTAAATAATGCTGCAATAAACATAGTCATGCTGGTAGCTTTAGTGTGGTCTTGTTTGTGATCATTTGGGTAAATGCCCAAAAGTGGGATTGCCGGATCATAGGGGAGCTCTATGTGGAGTCTTTTGAGGAACTTCCATACTGCTTTCCAAAGGGGTTGAACAAGTTTACACTCCCACTAACAATGCAGTAAGGTTCCCTTCTGTCCACATCCCCTCCAGCATCTGTTGTTCTTAGAGTTCTTGAGTATAGCCATTCTAACTGGGGTGAGGTGGTATCTCAATGTTGTTTTGATTTTAAAACCCTACAGAAGGGTTACAGGTACATAAGTCAGGTAATGAGTACATTTCTTTCTGAACAATGTTATCTCTTCTCTTATTTTCTCCTAGATTTTTCCCTCCCACCCAACCCCTCTCCCAACAAGTTGTATAGTTCATTTTCAACATTGTGCCTAGTATCACTGCTGCATTTATTCACACTTTGTTCCACCGTTCCTGTGTTCCCCTTACCCTCCCCCAAACAGATAAACTTACGTACAAGACCAAAGGTACAGAAATCTAAAGCAGCGACAAAGGAGAAAAACAGAAAGAAAAAAAACTCGTTTCCCTTTTTTGGAGTTCATTTTGATAAACATCATTTTATATGATATACAGTATACACATAACAATTGAGCCTTTGTGATCCTCTCTTAAGAATATCCTCCTTTGGCCTCACTGTGTGAATATTTAGCGTCTGGTTCAATTTATCATGTCTGGGTATAATTTTTGTCTTTTACTTCTCTGTCATATTTTTAGTATCAGAAGAAATTCATGTAGAAATTACTTTGGTTTTATTGTCCACTTTAAGTACCTGCAGAGAAATCTGAAGAGCCTGTTTCTTCCCATAAGTTCTCATAGTCTTGGATTTCAGCTGAGCTCTGTCTCAAACAAGAGTCAGCACCCCCATCTGGTGGCACAGTCAAAAAAAATTCTCATTTTATATACTCTTTCCACAATATTTTAGTTTTGTATGAAGTTTGAGGTTTCCTAAGTTTTTAATAAATAATGTTGGGATTTTTCATACAGAGGTAACTGTTGCTGAAAATAATACCACTAAAAAACTGATAGTTTATCATTTGTAATTACAGGTCACTATTAAATCATGAAACACCATCACTTCTAAATGTCTATAAAAGTAGCATTTTTCTCCCATGTCTCTGGAGAGAAAAAAAAGGTTTTTTTAAACATTGCTTTTGTTTTCAAAATTCTATTTTATTAGCCTACAATTAAGTATTTAGTAAGAAACAAGACCCAAAGCCTTTTAGAGCCAAGATATATTTGTTATCCATTTTGGTTACCAAATTAGTTTCTTTATTATAGGTATATTTCTATTTTTATTGTTTTGACAAATATTTCCTTAAGGAAAATTATAAATTTTAGAAATTATAAAATTTTAGAGTCATCTGTTATTTATCTATTGACAATAGAATTTTTTTCAGTCACTCAACAAATTCTTTCTCCGTTCTCTACTACAAAATCACCATTCTGTACTAGCTCATTTCTTCCCCCCAAACATTTTATTCTCTTCAACATTTCTCAGACTCACATTTTTTAAATAATTAGACATAGTTAACACTATGTCTGCAAAGCTGTTTAATTTACCTTATCAAATATAGTCAACTAAGTAAAATAAACAGTCCTCTCAGTGAACAATTGATTGAAATTATTATTGGGAGCTCACTATTTTTAAGATTGTTGCTTATGTATTACTTATTATAAAGAACTTCTTAGCCTTGCTTTGTGGCCATGAATGTTAAACTTTTTAATTTGATATTGTCTATCTCTATGCCAACATTATTTCTAGTGATTTGAGGTGAACATCAGAGATGACTAGCTAATCCATTGTGTTTATCACATATTATTAGAATCCAATTTCTACCACTGTTAGATTCTACAGGCTAAATGTCCAAACATTATACATTAATGCTTTATTGTTTTTCATCTGCTCTTTCTTCTGATTCATGTGGAACTTTGTCCATAGCTATAGCCCATTGTCTATTAAAATTCTCAACCTAGAAAAAAAGGAGAATTAAAACATTCTTCATGCTTTAAGAAGTGAATTATTTTCTACAATGGTTATAGACAATTTAATAACTGAAAAAGGAAATGTCTTTTTCTCTTTCAGAGGCGAGCTGCTGATAATTTGAGAAGACATCACCAATATCAAGTAAGTTATCCTGGTATTGGATCTTGCAATTTACATTAGAATGAAAAGCAAATCTGACTCACCAGAGAAATCTTATTTACGCACTGAATTAAAAAATACTTTTGTTTTAAAATGCCTCAGGAAGTGATGAGGAACCTGGTGAAGAGATATGTTGCTGCCATGATTAGAGATGCTAAAACAGAAGAAGGGCTGACAGAAGAGAATTTTAAGGTAACCCCTTCAGTATTTATCCTAGTGACAGAAAGGAACCAGCCACAGCACAGCAAGAAGCAGAGCTTCAGCCATAGGAACAAACTGTCTTCTGTGCCTTCTTTTATGAACTCAGGACCTGAACACTCTCCCTTAGCTTTTCTTCCTCAAGACCAGCATTCTACCGATCTCCAACCACACCTCCACTTGTAGCTTTTTTGGTGGTTAATTGAAGTGTCTTGTGGACTTTTTTTTTTTTTGCCTAGTCTGGCTTTGAATTGTAACCCTCAGATCTCAGCCTCATGAGTAGCTAGGATTACAGGTATGAGCCACTGACACTGGGCTCTTTTCTGAATTAATGTTCTTCTGAATTTCTTTTTTCTTTTTGAGTGTTGAAATTTCTTCTCAAACTGGTTTGAAATACATGTGTCAAGGGGACTTAAGTTGGAGGCAGAGAAAATCCTAAGGCCTGACGATCTCAGCCATGCTGACTGATTGATGTCCCAGCCTGACTGCTAAATCCAACACATGGTGTAACCCTAAGAAAAGCTTTTGGGATGTTCTGTAACAGTATGGTAGCAGGGCATTTAAGTTCTGAATTTAACTTATGAACCTAGTCTTTCTATTTGAGTTTCTTTTTCAAACAATTCTTTCAGAAGAAATAAGTACAATCTAGTCTCAACTCTTTCTAAATATATTACACAATATAAATAAAAATATGTGCATACATATAAATATATATATACATGTGTATAAATATATATACATGTGTATATAATGTATACATATATGTGTATATAATATATAGGTAAATATATATCAATTTATGTATGCACATGTGTGTACACATACACACATATGTAAATACACAGATATTTAGAAGAATTCTTTGAGTTCGATAAGATCTTTTTAAAAAGAAATGAAAAGGTATAAAACTAGCTGCAGAGAAAGCAGCTAGTCTGACAGAGACTAAAGCAGTCCGTTTTGTAAGAAGGATGGACTATAAATGAACTGAATTTCAAGCTTTTCTTTGCCGCCACAAAAATCTAAGTCAGAAGGTTTAGTTTGTTTGCTTTGAGGGAAAGGTTGGAGGGAGTAGACTATTGAGAAGGCCACTCATAGGTTAAGACTGAAAACTCCATTGTCCAAAGATATAGCAAACACAGAGCAAGGAACCTGGAAAATATCTGGTATGAAGTAATTTGTAAGACATATGAAGCTGACTCAGAGTCTGGGGTTCAGTTCTCACCTAGGTATAGAGTAAGTGAAAGTAGCTGCCAATTCTGGGAAAGGTAAGCTTTGCCTTATTTTATTTTCCATACTCTTTGAGGCAGAAACATCTATGATTTTTTAAAAAGTTTTATTGTCAAGGCGATGTACAGAGGAGTTGCAGTTACATAAGTAAGGGAGTGGGTACAAAAGCATTCTTGAGAAAGAGAGAGGGAGAGAGAGCGCATCAAGTGACTTGACAAGAAATGAATACTTAGGAGAGAGGGTATCTGAAATTGCAGGCCTGAAGAAAACCAAAAGAATCTGCTGTGCTGTGGCAGAAAGGACAGTTGCTCTTGTTTCTTCTGACAGCATCCTTAGGAGGTTTCCTTGTAACTACAAAAAGTCCACTAATGAAATTAATTGTCATCCTAATGACAGAGTGCTGGAAATTTCCAATAGAACCACAGCTGAGCAGATTCCTAGTTCATTAAAAAGAGGGGAAGACAGTTTAGTCCTATCATCTGTGAAACTGGGAAGTGATATTGCCTGATGTTTATTTCATTTTGGGGGGGGTCCGGTCGTGGGGCCTGACTGTGGGCCTGGGCACTGTCCCTCAGCCCTTCAGCTCAAGGCTAGCTCTACCACTTGAGCCACCTTCCCAGCCCCTTATTTCATTTTTAAAATTTATTTTATTCATCTTGTTTAGGTATTGTGCTGGCACTGGGGCTTGAACTCAGAAAGTCTAGCTCTTTTTTTTTCTGATTAATTGAAGATAGAATCTCTGTAATGTCTATGCCCAGGCTGGCTTCAAACAGCCATCCTGAGATCTAAGCCTTCTGGATAGTTGAGATAACAGACATGTGCCATTCACTGACTCTCAGCTCTGCTAGTCCTTTGAATCACCACCTTCATTGGCCATCTTCCATTTGCCCTCCCTAGGAACTAAAGCAAGACATTTCTAGCTTCCGCTTTGAAGTCCTGGGATTGTTAAGAGGGAGCAAACTATCCACCATCCAATCCGCCAGCGCCACCAAAGAGTCTTCCAACTCCGCGGACTCGGACGAGAAGAGTGACAGCGAAGGTCACGGTAAGGACAAGAAAAAGAACCTCAGCCTCTTTGACCTGACCACCCTAATTCATCCGAGGTCCGCAGCCATCGCGTCGGAGAGACGCACCATCAGCAATGGCTCTGCTCTGGCGGTGCAGGGCCCACCCAGGGAGAAGCAGAGGAAAGTGAATTTTGTGGCTGATATCAAACACTTCGGGTTGTTTCACAGACGCCCCAAACAATCCACGGCGGAGCCCACGACAAACCCCATCTTCTCGGTTTCAGAAGAAGTGGCCCGGCAGCAGGCGGCCGCGGGACCCTCTGAGAGTGGCATCGCGCTGGGATCGCGGGGCCTCGGGGCCAGGGGGGACCCCAACCTCCCCGGCCTCAGTGAACAGTGTGTGCTAGTGGACCATAGGGAAAGGAATTCGGACTCCTTGGGTGTGCAGATGAGCAAGAGAGTGTGTGCGTTCACGTCCGAGAAAGTCGTGGTGGAGGACACGGTGCCCATCATCCCCAAGGAGAAACACGCGAGGGATGAGGATGCCAGCCTAGACTACGACTTGCACCTCAAGGACACCGTCAGCCACGAAGACTATGTGACGACCAGATTGTGATGCCCACGGGGCTCTGGGAGAGGGCGGTAGGGACATGTTCAACGTTCAGTGAATCAAGGCTGACTTTCACTTTCTAGCATCTATGAACTGTGGCACATGAACCCCGGGTATATGTGGGAAACGAGGTGGAAGTGATCAGGAATCCCTTCTTGCTGTGAAGCCTGCTTTTGCTTTCACGATTTGTTTTAACGACTGTTTGCGTTTTGTTGTTCTGGGTTTGTTTGTTGTTGTTGTGAATAAAGAAAACGCACCTTGTATTCTTGTACCGTTGCAATCACCCACAGAAAAATTTTTAGCTCTCTTTTTTCAATTAAAGCAAATGCAACTTACTTCATGTCGTAGTTGACTCCTATAATAGATATTTTTGTATGGAAAGAAAACATTGTAGCTGAACTATTAGAGCTTTTCATAACTTCAGGGGGGAAGGGGGGAAAGGGATGATGATTATTTGATTAAGGATTGTCCCCCCCAATCCTACAGTTTGGCTTTGAAATTGAGCTATCATTTCATTATTTCCAAAGAACATGTAAATAACAATCGAACACAAAGCAAGCAAGGCTTTAGTAGATGGGGCTAAAATCGAATGTTTTCTAACAATGAAAGTCAGATTTGTAGATGGTCTTGGTGTATCATTTCAGGAAGTAAAAGAAATGTTTTTGTCTTAATAAATTTTGGTGATTGGTGATTTTAATAACATTTTGTCAAAATAAAGCTTGCATCTTTAGTTTAAAAAAATTCTATTTCAGGTTCAACTGATGATCAGCCTAAATGTGAGTTTGGGGAATAACTGAATTTTGCAAATGTGGCAGAATTTCTAATTTAGAGAAAAACCACAGTAAATTAAAACAGTTTGAATCCTTAAACAAAGCAACGTGATTGCATAATCATAATATTCAGCTGAAAATGAATTCCTGCTAACAACCTAACTCTAAGAGAAGTTGTACTGCAGTCACACAATCAGTTTCTCTGTCTATTCAAAAGATTTACAAAAGTTGGTAGTTCACTAGGTTTTCTTCAAAATTTTCTCTCTTTAAAATTAAGGTCACTCAAAACTGTATTCTTTTTTTTAAATTTTATTTATTTATTTTTTATTTGTGAACATACTGTACAGAGGGGTTACAATTACATGGGCAGGATAATGCGTACATTTCTTACCAAGCATTGCAGCCTCCTCCTTTGGTTCCTCCCCCCCCAATCCCCAACCCTTCTTCTCCCCCCCCTTCCCCCCCCACTGACGTTGTAAAGCTCGTTTTGGACATGACAACTTATACTTCTCATTGTTGCATCAGGTCCACCTGTATCCTTAAACAACTGTTTTTTCCCCCTCTCCTCCACAAGTTATACTGACATCAAATATAGTGAAAGCAGGGGTTATACTGTGGGGGAGGGACATACAAAGCAACATTTTACTGGTAGATACGAAAGGGACATAGCTAATCCCTATCTTTACAACATTGATAATTCATAGTCTCTTCTATTGTTGGCAAGATAATTTAGCTAATACAATTTAGCTAAGATAATTCACTAAACTATGAAAAGGAAAGAAGGACATACACCAAATATAAATATGAATTCGCAATCTCCTTTTTAAAATGTAATTTTATTGTTACTATTAAGATATTGCACAGAGAAGTTAAGAGTAGAGGGGTAAGTAGTACAGTGATTTTTAGTTTCCCCCTTTTGTCCCTGCCCACAAATTGCCTAGTTCATTTTCCTCATAGTGTATACTGAATGCCATAGATGTATTTTTCACCCTTGCTCCCTTTCTGCACCCCTTTTATCTCCCATAAAGACAAAATTAACAACAACAAAAACCAACAACAACAACAACAAGACACGTGTTTCCATTTCCTGGAATTTATTTCAACAAATAATATTTTAAATGTTCAGAGGAATTTAAAATATATTACTTAAAGTGTATTGTCAGGTTTAGTTAAGACTCCAAAGGAAGTTTCCTCACGAAGTACAGTTCGAATTTATTCCAAATCAATAGAAAATAGCGTCTATATTACTTCAAAACAATTACTTCTGTGAACTACAGAAATGGTAAATTTAGCATAGAATTTACCAAAAGCTATTTGTGACCAAGAGCACAGTTTCTGATTAGCATCAGTCGAAAATCAAAGATAACATCAAAACTATGCCAGCCATAGTTCTAAGTATACTAAATTACTAACATGCATAAAGTTCTCTCTGGTAACCACTGTTCATATCTCCATTTTGCCGATAAGGAAAGCAAAACAAGCACTGCCTAAAATAAGATAGTTGGTGATAGAACTGTGCTGTGCACATTTGCACTCAGGTACTTCATGGAGCTCCAGCAAACCAGGATCTCAAAAATGTGGGATTGTGATGGCCCATTCAAAATTCTGTATCTTGAGAAATAATGAGTTGGGTAAAATCCATAAATGTGTATCCCTCCTCAAATGCACCTTTTATAGAGACAGTCACACAGTAGAAGTAAAAATTGAAAACAAATGAATAAGAAAACATCAGGCTGGGCACCTATAATCCTAGCTACTCAGGCAGCTGAGATCTGAGGATCATGCTTCTAGGCCAGCGTAGGCAGGAAAGTCCAGGAAACTCTTATCTCCAATTAAGCACCAAAAAGCTGGAAGTAGGAATATGGCTCAGGTAGTAGAATGCCAGTCTTGAGCAAAAAAAAGCTCAGGAACAGTGCCCAATGACCAGAGTTCAAGCACCTGCACGGCAAAAAGTGAAAAAATAGAAAATAAAATTCAGTGTGGGGTCTCAGCTATTGCCTTGAAACATTCCATATGAGTTTTCAGGGAATTCAGAGACGATCAGCTCCTGCTTACTGTTAAGTCTGCTTTTATCCTGGGGATTTAGAGTGGGTTGAATAGGTTTAGAGAAATATTGGACAAATGAATGTATGCACTGTTTCAAGCACATTTTTATCTCCAGGATATTAGGACTCAGACAAAACCCCAAGGCTACTGAAATGCATTCTCCAACATTCAGTAATAGGAGAATTACAGGCTTGTTCTTAATATTTAGGAGAATATCCTTGATTGACTTTGCCTCTTTCGTATGTATGTATGTGTATGTAGGTGTATGAAGGTGTATATATGTGTCTGTGTCTGTGTGTGGTGTTAAAGACTTTATGAATTTTTATTGTACATAATTTATCAGAATTTAATTTCAAACTCCCGCTGTCCTAGTGTTGGAAATGTCTCAGGATATTGGGGTGCCAAGTGGAAATAGGGCCACCAACTTGAAAGGAACTTGGCAATGCATGATTTTACTTCGGTATGAGGGCATGCTACTGACAGGAAACCAAGGAAGCAAGCACTTTGGGTGGGCACTCTGCCCAGGTTTAATTCCTAACTCCTTTCTGCCCTTTTTTTTCTGACTGGTCAGAATTTAGGTTTGCAATCGTGCATGATTGAAAGGAGTTAAAGGAAACCAGTTCTTACTTGGCTGGCACCCTACAACATGGTGCCATACCTCCAATCCCCTGAAACAACAATTCTTATAACAGGACTTGGCTTAATTAAACTTGCTTCTTGTAAAATGAGGACTACCTTTAAAACAGCAATGCTTGTGTCAAGCAATCACTTTGACAAGAAAGATTCTAACTCCTACACTAACGACACCAACAATGATAAAAGCAAAGAAAACTATTTTTGCAGTAGCTCATTTATATCAAGGGCTGGAATGCTGATATTTTACAGGTGAACAGGATAATAATGGAATCACCTGTCTAGAGCAGGTAACATTTGTCTTTCCCATATCCCATACTCAGATATCACTGACAAATGCTTTCATGGGTATGAACAAAGTCATTGTCAGTGCCAAATGTCCTAGAAACAAATATGTTTTTGCTAAATATACATTTATGCTATGCAGTACTACTAAAGATGAATAGTAATAGTAGAATAAGAAAAAGGATATAATAGAATAAGAATAGAGTGAGAAATAGAAAAAGAAAATAATAAAGGGATTGCTGGAAAATTAGAATATTTCTATACCACCTTCAAATAAGTAATTTTGGGTTTCTTTCCATTTCTATTCATGTATCTGTGTATAGAAATTTCTAAAACTGATGAGAGGTTTAAAATGATCTTCAACTTGTATAGAGAATGATACATTTTATGCCCTTGTGATCCTAAAAAATGCTTTTTAAAATTATTTTTACTTGTATTTTTATAGAGTTGGATGGAGGAGTATCTTGAAAAGTCAACCAAACTTTAAAGAACTTGAGGTTAAATTCACAGTATTCTATTTATCAAATGTATGTTTTGGAAGTTCCAGTTAGAAGAAAGTATGCCATAAAAATGTACCTCACTATTTATGATAAATGCTGTCTTGAATATTTCTTTGTAAATAAATCTATATTAATTTCAGTAGGGAAATCAATTATTTAAAAAAGATAATTATTTTGTAAAATGGTGAGTTATTTTTCAAAGTGATTATCACCCTTGAAATTTATCTGTTTTATGTGTTACATATGTATGTATCAAATTTTCTTAAATCAGACATTTTTCTTATTGGTTGTCAATTAAAATTGTTCCCCCTGCAAAAAAAATCATTACTTTCTTGCGTTAACATATATATCAACATTTTATACTTCAGAGGCCAAACACACAAAATGCACAGTATAAAAAATTTGTGGGTAATAAGAGAGAAGGAAGAAAAGAATCAGATGAAAAGTTTAAGGTAAGAAAAAGGTCTTGTTATTCTCAAAGAAGAAAAGTCAACTTTCCAGCAAAGAGGAAATACAGGCTATAAACATGAGCGGCCCATCTAGCATGCAATGATCTCTAATAATTCTGGGGTGTAGCTGAGTGAATAATTAAGACTCAATACCAATGGGTGAGATCTTCCCATTCTTGGTCACCTGGCTTTGTGTTTGCATCAGAATCTTCTAGAATATGGATGCTTGCTCAGCATCTTTATAAACCAGCCTAACACAAACCATCCACACATCTACAATGATTAAAATTTTCCATAAAGCCAAATGTCTGGGTATGTTGCATCACTGCTGCTCT